TATATATATAATATTGGTTGGCCTCTAGCGATACGGTCTCCACCTACATTACACAATGTCACTAGGATTTAACATCTTTCCCTTTTGAACTACCGCCACGAAGCCTACAGAGAATTCTTAATACATATATCCCTTCCTATGCCATTACCCTTTACTTGGTTGCCGGGACTCTCACACCACATGGGAAGTCCACCACTAAATCTAAATCGCTCTACCATCATTTACTCTCCACACCCACTACATTCTCCTTCACTTGGATTTGGACCTCATCTCCCTCCAAAAATTAAACATTTTCTCTCGTTGTCTAGCCACAATCGCCTACCCACTATGACATACTATCACCACACATCCTCAATACGGTAGCAAAATATTACTATGTAGCCACTCCCCCACATTTTAAACATATTCACATTCCTATGCAAATTGAATGCACCCTCCTAGTGTTGCCTCTTTTAAACTAAATACAGATGGTTCACTAGGATCCATACTAATCAGGGAGGAATTGGTGGAGTCATACGTGACTCATTGGGTAACTGACTTCTGGGCTATGCGGGCCACCATATCGCTCATGGGAGCGTCGAAGCTGAGCTACTTGCACTCTATCAATGTCTACACTTGGTTTTACTCATGGCTACACATCACTTGAAGTCAATTTAGATGCTCAAACAATTATTACTATCTTACAACCCTCGAATCCATATTATGCTAACATTATACATGATTGTAGGTTTTTGATCGTCGCGCTGGATAATCCTGTTATATTCTATACGTACAAGGAACAAAATAAAGTGACATATTCACTAGCTAAATATGGTTGCCAAATAAATAGCTCCGCAGACATCACTATTTTTGCACAACCCCACCCTTTGTCCAAACGGCCTTAGTAGACGATCACTCCGGAACACTTTTTGTTAGAAAGGTGGCACCCAACTGGCTGCCAAGTACAACTGACAACCCTTTTGTATTTTTTCGGATACTAGGTTTTCCCCTGGATTCCGCTTTTGTCACGACCCATCACGAAGTCACTTCGCTAGGGCACTGCTTATGCCTTCCTTTGCTCCTTGTACCAGTCAACTTTAGTGGGCTTTTGGACATAAGAATTGTAAAATTTCCAAAATAAAGGTAACAAAAATTTTAAGTGAAAATGAAATTTGAAATTTAGAGTTGTGTTTGGACATGAATATGATTTTGGGTTATTTTTGAAGTTTTGTGAGTGACAAGAGGGGTTGCTCTGATGGTAAGCAACCCCCACTTCCAACCGAGAGGTTGTGAGTTCGAGTCTCCCCAAGAGCAAGAGTTCGAGTCTCCCCAAGAGCAAGGTGGGAAGTTCTTGGAGGGAAGGATGCCGGGGGTCAATTTGGAAACAGTCTCTCTACCCTAGGGTAAGGGTAAGGTCTGCGTACACATTACCCTTCCCAGACCCCACTAAGTGGGATTATACTGGGTTGTTGTTGTTGTTGTGAGTGATTTGAGTGAAAATTTTGAAAAATAGCTTTTTGGAGTTTTTCTTCAAGTGAAAATTAAATTTTTTTTAATAAACACTTATTTCGAAAAAAGGTAAAAAAAATTTGAAAAAAGGAAAAAATTTCTTATGTCCAACTCTTAATATAATATAATTAGTCATCTTTTGAACACACCCCCTCCAAAAAAAAAAAAAGAAGAAGAAAGATTATTGGAAAAAAGCCGTCACAAATTTGTTTCTTTTTCAAGACTAGCGGCTTCCTATGAAGTCGCTGAGCACTCAAAAGTCAAAGTCAGTCGTCAGAAAAATTCAGATCATTCACTAAAAAATAGGAGAATGGACAATGGAAAAGAGTTCTCACTTTCTCAAAGCAAACAGACACTTTCTTCTTTCAGACACTAAAGAAAACACAACACAGTACCCCTTCCTGTTAACTAACTAACGACGTCTCTCGTTCTTGTCAAATTAAGACACTGTTCAGCTCTGAGCAATGCTCTCCACCGTTCCATCCCTCCTTATTTTCATTATCTGCTCTTGTTTCCTCGCATACCCGACTCTTGCCAAGGTACAGTCTTGAAACTCTTTTTGAAGTAGAATGAACAATTGGAATTGCATTAGCTTTTCAAAAAGATAAATTTATTGACTATTTGACTAAAATGGGTCCAAATTAATTATATAGTCAACCAGTAACCAACCAGTCTAGAGACTTCTGTTTGAAGCTTTTTAACTCTCTCCTTTCTCTTCTCCCCTTAATTTCTGCTTACTTTATTCTAGCACTTTTTATTAGAACAAAGATGATATTTTAAGTGTGCGAATTATAGTGGTACATATATTTATAGGATGAAACTTTGGAAATGTTGGATATAGCATATTATACTTACACACACCACAATAGTGGCACCCAACCAATTTGAATTTATGTCAAGGTCGATTTACAATACTCCCTCCGTTTCAATTTATGTGAATCTATTTGACTGAGCATGAAACTTAAGAAAAGAGAAGACTTTTGAACTTGAGTCACATATATTTTATGTGGCTATTAGTCATTGCATAAAGGTCAATTATTTCCAAATATGAAAAGAGGTTATTCTTTTTGGCATGGACTAAAAAGAAAATAGGTTCACATAAATTGAAACTGATGGGGTAGATAATATATAGTTGCTAAAAGATTGATAAAGATTTATAGGGAAAGGAAGAGTGATCTTTAGATGGAGTATTATTCATTGACCCAAAAAATGCATATTGTAGAGTGTTAAAGAAAGCCCTTTTGTTGGTGTTGGAGAGAAAGGAATTCATACCAAATACATAAATGCAGTAAAAGATATGTAAGAAGCACCTATCACAAGTTTGAGACAGTGTTACGAGATATAGAGGAGTTCGCCTAACCATTATTTGTTTGAGGATCTTCCTTGAGCGTATAGTTTTTTGTCATAGTTATGGGCGAGCTTACCAATTGTATACAAGATGAGGTTCTATTGCGCATGCTATTTGCATATGACATTGTTTTAATTGATTAAACTAATCAAGGAATCAACCAAGATTTTGAACCATACATCTTGTTTCACCACTTCCAACACTCATCATGATGAATCTTGGTGTAATGTCTAGAACCTAATGAGTCACTCTTAAGTAAGTCTAAACACCATATTAATTGTGCATTTAACACTTGCAAGAATCTGGTTTATGAATTGCTTAATGGATGGATGTCTTGCTGTTGTTTGCTGCAGTATCAAGAAGATGATTCTGTCACTTTATGGGTAAACAAGGCTGCACCATATAACAATCCACAAGAGACCTACAGTTATTATAGCCTCCCATTTTGTCGCCCTGCTGATGGTGATCACAAGCGGGGTGGCCTTGGCGAGGTTCTCGGAGGAAATGATCTTATTGATAGCCGAATTGACATAATGTTTAAAAGTCTGTTGTTCAAAATTTTACGCTGGAGCTTTATGCTTTGAAACACTTCCTTTTACAATTAGCCTTTTTTCTTTCAACAGGAAATGTGGAAAAAAGCTCAATTTGTGCACTTCAATTGGATGCATCAAAAGTGGCACAGTTTGAATATGCAATTGACAATTTATATTGGTTTGAATTTTTTATGGGTACTAACATTCCTCCATGATACTGTCAATTCTTTTCAACAGTTATATGCATGCCTGAAATGTACTAATTCTAATTTCTAAACTTCTCTCCTTTTGTAACGTCTGTTTTGGGTTATGACTTGTGACTTCCTGCCTTCAGATGATTTGCCAATATGGGGTATGTTCTTAGCTAGTTTATCTCTAATGTTTCTGATTACCGTGGACAGTTATATAACATAAATAAACACTCACTTGGTATCAGGTTTCGTGGGCGAGGTGCATTCTGACAGAAATCAAGATATCAAGCATGTAATCTATACACACACGAATCTTCTTATTAAGTACAATGGAGACCAGGTAGGTACTTTGTTATTAGTTCTTAATGCCTTGTGGCAATGATCTACAATTTAATGTTGATAATCTAACTCTAATCGAAGTCCTTTAGATCATTTTTGTCCAACTGTATCAAGAGAGCCCAAAGCCATTGGAGGAAGGAAGGGTCTTGGACATGACATATTCTGTTAAATGGGTCCCGACAAACGTTACTTATGCACGACGTTTCGATGTTTACCTGAATTTCACCTTTTTTGAGAACCAGGTACATGCCAATCCTCTAGCCTATTTTGTTGGGTACTTAAGTGAAGCTTTATTGATCAGAAATCGATGAAGATGTTATGCTTTAGCAACATTTAATTCTTTCTTGGAATTGTTTGTTGATGATATGCTAGTATGTGATACCTTAGATATCAGTACCGAGCACTTGCTGACTTCCATAATGGTCTTTTCATGGAAGAATTTGAAAAGCAACAAAATAACTGCTGCACCAATTACTGCAGTTTTATGCTTTATCGACTTGTGTAGCCAATGGAGGTCTGGACCACAAGAAGTAGCTATTTTGTGAACTGAAAATCTATCCAGTGGGGAAATCCACATTCCATTCTATTAGTTTTCTTAAAACATGTTTGGAGAGACTGAGGCGTGGTATTTCTGCATATAAATATCACACACCTACTTCCTTTTTGGCTTCCAACGTGGCAAATGGGTTTTTCTCAAAACTTAGTAATCTTTCAGGTTCTCATTGAATCAAAACACTAAGGAGAAAGCAGATAAAAAGCTTAGGCAGTTAGTCCCCATTAACTCCGTATAGCTCTTCGTGTTCTCAGCTCCTAAAACGTCTTGTTCCTTTGGCAGATTCATTGGTTCTCTGTTTTCAATTCCATCATGATGGTTGTTTTCCTCACTGGGTTGGTGTCTATGATTTTGATGCGCACTCTTCGCAATGATTACGCAAAATATGCTCGTGAAAATGATGACATGGAGACCCTGGTAAAGCTTTTTTTTCTTCTCATTAATCACGTAATTGCGTGAACTTATGTCTCCAATGGCATATCCTTACTTGAAAATTACTAATTTTTGGTGTTTGATTGGTTGACTTCTTATATAGGATAAGGATGTACATGAAGAGTCTGGTTGGAAACTCGTCCACGGTGATGTCTTCCGACCTCCAGAAAATTTGGCTCTGCTTTCAGCAGTTGTCGGGACTGGTGCTCAGCTTTCAACACTTGTTCTCCTTGTCATTATATCTGCCATGATTGGAAATTTGTACATAGGGTATGTTTGCAACCTGTGTTACTCATCGTACAAACCAGATCTGAAAATTTTGGTTCTAGACAGTAGAGACTGCATTTCTTCTGTTTTTTTAACCGTTAGGTTTTTTGACACTCAGTAACCAAATGATCTTCATCCCCTTATCTGAATCAGTCCAACTATGTGTTCTTTGTAATCAAATTATGTCGATCATCTTCTATTTGAATACTAACTACTACTCCATATGGATTTCCAAGTGAGTTAAAATAGCCAGGTGTGTCCTATATTTGACTATATGATCAGCACTACTGCATTTATAATGCTTCTTATTTATTTCTTATGATCTTAGGAGAGGAGCAATTATTACAACATTTATTGTATGTTATGCTCTTACATCATTCATCTCAGGATATGTGAGTGGTGGCCTGTACTCTCGTAATGCCGGTATGTGCTCTCCTGCCTGATGTGTATAAGTTGTTTCCTTGCGTAGGAGAGATTAACATAATCAAATTTGTGTGTTTAACATATGGATCATTTATCAATTGAAGGGTTTTCTTCTTTGAATCTTTTCAGGTGAAAATTGGATAAAGTCAATGGTCCTTACAGCATCACTTTTCCCTTTTGTGTGCTTTGGGATTGGGTTCATCCTAAACATAATTGCCATATTTTATGGATCCTTACTTGCTATTCCCTTTGGCACAATTGTAGTTGTTTTTGTTATTTGGGCTTTTATTTCGTTTCCCCTGACTCTCCTTGGTACGGTTGTTGGAAGAAACTGGAGTGGTGCGCCAAACAATCCATGCCGTGTTAAGACTATCCCTCGTCCTATCCCTGAGAAGAAATGGTACCTTAAACCATCTGTAATTTCTATGGTGGGAGGTCTTCTTCCCTTTGGAAGCATTTTTATTGAGATGTACTTCATCTTCTCTTCCTTCTGGACCTACATGGTAATTATTCTTTTTGGTATCTAGAGAAACCTGTCGTGAGATACTTCTCGCGTGCTGCTTGTTCCTGGTATCTTTTTAGCAATATTTAGACTTGTTTGTTTTACTACTCGAACCTTCAAATTTCGGAATCTCCAAGTAACAGGATGTTATAAAATATTCATTTATTGAGAACCTTCTTTTTGGCATGAACAATACATGCTTATAATTCTGGCCAAGGTGTTACCATTTGGGGTATGCATATAATATTGAAGAGCTTATTGTTCTAAAACCTGTCATAGTTGATACATCTTCGTTCATATTTGTAATTGATGGAATCTTTTGAAGGATGTCAATCTTCTGTGAGTAGTTTTCTGAGCCATCTCTCTTTATCTCATTTTGTTCATAGAAGTAACAGTATACGTGTAAGTAGTTAATCTTTTCTCGACGTTGCTGGAGATTCTGAAGCATTCATCTACTTATATTTCTGTGGTATAGCTATATTTTAGTTGAAATGTCTTTTCGATTTTTAATTCCACTTACCACCTTGATGATATTCTTGACAGGTGTACTACCATGTGTATGGGTTTATGCTCCTCGTTTTCATTATTCTGATCATCGTCACTGTTTGTGTGACAATTGTGGCAACATATTTCTTGCTGAACGCGGAGAACTATCATTGGCAGTGGACTTCATTCTTCTCTGCTGCTTCAACTGCTTTTTATGTGTACCTCTATTCCATATATTACTATTATGCAAAGACTAGGATGTTTGGTCTTTTCCAGACCAGCGTTTACTTTGGCTACACTCTTATGTTTTGCCTTGGTCTCGGCACGCTATGTGGTAAGCTCTCTTAGTATCATTCAATTGGTCTGTTCTTGTGATAGATATGCATACTGCGGGCATACATGCATATGTAGATCTCCAGTTATTTCCTTCCAAAGAACTTTTTTTCCTGTCACTAACTCGAGTTCTTGGCTCAATTGTTTCTTGCTTGATGTTTTGGAAACTACAGGTGCTGTAGGGTATATCGGCTCTAATTTGTTCGTCAGGAGGATTTTCAGCAATATCAAATGTGATTGAGTGCCTAATACTGCACAAGAGAGGTTACTATTTATAGAGTTTTCCGCGTTGAGTTCTGCCTATCTCTTGAGAGAGTAGTTGTATGGTCAATGATTTCCAGCTGAGCTCATGGCAATATTGATCACAATTAGATGAAGCTATACATTACATTGACCAGAACTAGCATTTTGTATCTTTCAAGACATTGAGAATCCAATTTAATGAAGCAAAATATTACATGGATAAATTTAAAGAGTACCCTTTGCAGATTTTATTTACATTGTGTAGTGTATAAGCTCTGTACAAATTTCCTACTAAACATTTTACCATATTGAACAGACTATTTGATGGTACCTTCCTTTGGAAAAGACCGTCACTTTGTCTCTAAGCTTTTGATTTTGCTCTTTCCTTTTCAGTTTTTTTCCTCTTGGGAACTAGACTCTGCTTATATGAGCCTAGCAAAACATAGTCAATAAGTGTTTTCCTTTTTAATCAAAGTTTACAAAGTTTTAGTAACACCAGAGTTGAATGATTGTAGATGGTGCAAAGTGACTAATGTGTACTTCGATTAATTCCACAGAATACACATGAAAAGAATCACCTGGTATTTTTTGGTCTATCGAACTTGAGAGGATGAGACCTCATGATAATCGAAGACTATATGGTTCTAATTCACTTTATTAGTCATTAGACCATACCCTTACCTGCAGATTTTTGGAAAGAGAACCATATCTTGATCTATCTATACAATACTCTAAATAAGTGAGAGTGTGTAAAGAGAAAAGAAAAGAAAACAGACATTTTAATCAACTTGTGATATTTTATTGACAAACGTATATTTTTAGCCGCTTCCAAAAATAATACCAGATAAATATATATATATTTGTGTATAGATATAATATACATATTTTATACACTTTTGGCTAGGGAATGCAATTTGTGTTTTGCCGTATTTTATTCCTATTTGTTCTTGTTAATTAGGTTTATCAACCAGATCAATGTCACTAGAGAAGAGAAGATCAACAATGGGAAATTGTTGCAAATGGCTGAAGCTTCTGGTAAAGGGGAAAAAAGAGAGAGACAACGCGAGATGCAAAACATGGAATTTGAGGTCTACGATAAATGGATTCTACAACCATTGAATAGCAAAATTAAAAAGGATGGAGATAACCTTCAATTCATAATTTCTCTGGGGGAAAAAACCTATAGAATCCCCCAAATTTCTTCCATTAAATCCCTAACTCGAAAATTATCCAAATCTTCTTGATTATATATAAATCCGTCTTTAATTCGGTTTATTTTCATGAATTTAAGGTAAAGCTCCATTCTTTAATGCTTTTACCCCCGTTCGGGAAGATTGTATTCTAACTTTTGGTTAATAAATTTTCGTCAGATTTCATTGACATTTTCCTGCTTTCGAGCAGCTACATCTATTTGGAGATTCGTGTTGTTCCTCCGCCTCTTATCGACGAGTCCTACTGATCATCTTTCTTTTTTGCTCTTCCTCACTATGCTTTCAGGTACTCTTCGATCTTCCTTACCCTTCATATATGATTATCACTATCTGTATATATGTTTATAACTATGCTTCTGCTGAATTCTAAGTTGGCTGGCATTTATGGTTCACAATTTTTTTTTTTTTTTGACTAGGGTCAGTTTTTTGGGTGATTTGCTCATCCTTTTAGATGTTTGGCTTGAATTGTTGTTTGCCGTTATGAGTGGACTCATCATCTGCTAAGTCGAACGAACCTTATAAGAAGTTTATTGGTATGATTACTAATAAGTATCTTTTCCAGCTACTGTGTTTTCGCTGATAAAGAAGTAATTCAATGTCATAAGGGTTCTGCATAATTCACCATAGATATGATATCAAGCTGATACTCTTAAGTCTCATGGTAATACTTCCCATTTACAAAATAAAACAACTTTGATTTCTTGCACATGATCAGAAAGCCAGTTAAGGAGATGAAACTTTATTAAAATACAATCAAATACCCCTTTTAAGTTTTGTAGGGATGATGTTGTTTCTCTTTCATCAAGTTTAAAAAAACAAGGAAAATAGTAGTGTTTTATCTAGTTCTATCTATCTTACTAGTAATGGTTCCCACACGGGGGCCTTGGTAGCAAACTCTAGCTTCGTAACTATGATGCCTCTTATGCATCTTCTTAACTGGTTTCTTGTACATGTTTGATTATCTATAATATAACGACATCTTTCCGACCAAAAAAAAAACAATAATAAAATTTGAGTTCCTTAACTTTGAATCTGGTGAACTATGGGTAGGCGCCATCACAGAAAGTGCAGGTATATATTGACGAAGTCTCTCGGTCATTGAATTCTCTTGAGACACTAGTAGCCAAATAAAGTAACAAAGCAGTTTAGTCCAAGCACTTCTGTTAGATATTTACTAGACCAGACCATATTTTTATATAGAAACAAAAACATAATTTTCTTAACCCAATGGCAAAAGCTAAAATTTTGATTCTGTATTCAGAATTATGTTCAATCTCACTCATTTCGTAACGCTCCGAATTCTGAGTATTCTGGGAGTATCCATGGTATCGAGGAACAAAACAAGATCAAAGCATTTCGTAAAAAAAGGTAAATAATATTCCATTAGTAATGAAGAAAATGAATGGAGGGTTATCCATATATGTTTTTCAGATCCATTAGAAGATGCAAAATAGCTAGAACTGAAGGTGGAGAAGTTTTTTTTTCTAAGGAAAGGACTCTTTTTAGTTTTATCCCCTTCTAATTTATACATAATTGTTTACACTATAGTTGTTGATCACTTCTTGGTGTGACCTCATGTGAGTAGTCTTGAACGATCATACTATTGTCGCTTATCTATTTCAGTCACTCTCATTTAATTTAGTCGATCTTGAGTCCAACTACAACAAGTGTCTTAATCTGAAGATTCTCCTAGTTGATAGGATCCACATCAAAAATAGAAGAAGAAAGTAGAATGGAAAATTTGTCAATAATCTATAATATATTAAAAGCATGAACCCTTTAGTTAAAAAGTTAAATTACTTTATTACCCCTCTTATCTTAACATCCTATTTACGGTAATTTTTAAAAAAAAAAAAACAAAACATACAAGAGTCCAAAGCTAACAGTCACAACCATTCTCTACGAGACAACAATCACTAAACGTTACACTCTCTTTTCTTTGCCTTTTCCTTTCCATTTGTCTGTTCATCTTATTTTAAATAGATTTTCTTTGTCATTTCTCCACAAAATCCAAATGTCATCAAACTTTAAATTGCAAATTCTCTTTAATCAAGCAATTTGTCTTCAGATTTATATTTGGAGCGTGTCATGGGATTTATATTTAGTCTTCTGAATCGGAGTTTATCATATAAAACCAACCAATGGCTACTACAACTTGAGTTTCTCTCGAATTTTGCTATGCATATTCCTCAATTTAGTTGCTTTATTTGTTGATTGAATTGTAAATTAGCAGTGTTCGATGCTTAAAAGAAATTAAAAAAGTTAGGGTACATATATGGCACTTATTAATAATCTAACTACTTAAAAAAAGAGGATCCTACAAATTAAAGAGTCCTAGATCGAACAGTCACAACCATTCCGTTTTCTATATGGCAATAGTCCCTTATAACGTATCCACAGTACATTCTCCACGAGACAATTGACAGAAGACACAAAAATAACAGAAAGTGTTCATGCAAATTAAGGAAGCACATTAAGGTGATGAGTCTGGTCTTATAATCTCATAAAACTATTTTGGTTTCCTATGTCTCCATGTAAGTTTGATCAGTCTGTCGATTCATAAGAGAGAAAAAGACAATGACTTTATCGCACATTAACTGTTGCTTCTATTAAGAAGTCTAACAGTGATCCTTCTACTTTGTCTCATTGTCATAATATACCATTTAAGTGGATTATCTTTAGTATCGCCAGTTCTTGTATGGTTTATTTTGTACTTGTCTATCTCTTCTAAATGGCAACCAAAGAAATGTAAAGGGAAGTCTTACAGAAAATTGAGAAATGTTCTGAACTTCATATTCAAAGTTTGATATTCATGAAAGATTAAGAGTAATTAACCGTGAAATTCATGAGATATATGGATTTTGAATTCTTCTTATGTAGCATCAAAGGGTTCACTTGGCTATCTATTTCTCACTAGACATTGGATAAGATTCATCCACATATATGAAATGATAGTTATTAGTCGTCATTTTTTATGAAAAAAAAAAAAATGCAATTGGGCTATTTGTAAAATAAAAGTTTTTTTGTCATGGTTTTCTCAAACAAAATACATTTTAATGTTATATTTGTTTTCTCTAATTGTTGAAGGAATCCACGAGAGATTGACACTCTTGTTCCTTGTCCAAGAAGTGAGTACAACTTTTGAAGGTAGAGAAAATATCAAAGCCGTGAGTCAAGAAGAAAGTCATGAAATCGAGTTCTGTTTTTTTTTTAATTTCACATATTATTTATCATTTATTTATACATTTAGTATTGTCCTATATGATTTTTTATGATGCCATCGATGAATAACAGGGTAGACATTTCACAAAGAGCGATGATCTACAAATTATCATATTGTGCATGCTAATTATGATAAAAATTAATATATGTTTAAAGGTTGTTGTTGTTACTTCTTTGTCAAAATGCAAGTTAGTTGTCTTACATATATGCTTCATTCATGATGTCAAGTGAAGTTAAATTTTTAAGCAGTTGAATGATATGATGTGATATATTATTTGGAAGGATCATACGCCAGGTATAGAGTCTATCGAGAAGTAGGTGAGATATGCTTCATAAAATTAAAATTAAAAAAATATTCGTAAATTAAATTAAATTTTTAGTTGTTTTTTTTAGATTCATACGATAATTACTTTGACCTTGATAAACAAATTATTATGCAATGTTTACATTGGTCATTCGCAGAACCTTGTATTTTATTCTTTCGTGTATAGTAAAGTTTCATTCTTTGTTCTGTAGGCGATCAACCTATCACTTAATCACAGACTGCTTTATCATTATTAATTTTTTGTTGCTTGATCACATTCAAATTTATGTATCTACTTATTATATTTTACCCCTACTTGGTAGTTTTGTAGCAAGTTATTTCAGACATTTTATAGGAAAAGAAGAAATCACGATAATAACCACTACGTGCATTTCGATCGAAGAGCTTTATATTAATATTATTTTGCAAAGCAGTGTAATACATGACACGGCATACACGTGCAATGCACGTGCCGAGAAACTAGTAAAATACAAAAGTATAGTAAAACGGAGCACTCTTAGAAAAATTTGAATATGGAAGTCCCTCTTGAATTCAAGAAGAAGGAAATGATGAACGTGAATAAGATGAAATGAATGTGTTTTTCTAACTCTGCCTTCCCCCGACAGTATTTGGTAAAATAATTGGGCTGCTTGCTTTGGCCAAAATTGCATTTTTTTTCATTTGCTTCCGAACATGGCGTCACAAGGATTATTTTGCTGAGTTTGGTTTAGCTCGATTTAGAAATGGGCAAAAGTGTTGTGTTTGAGCTAAATGGAGATGGATAGATACGCACAACCCTCTTTGTAATAATGTTTTATATCATTGAAACTTTTTTCACTCTCACTGGCCTATTTCTCCTCTTCTAATGATTTCCTATATCGGTAAAGGTTCAAATATGTATGCGAAATTGAACGGATTTGCTTGTCATTAATACGTTGGTACAAATATGCCCATGTCGTTCATATTTGCTCAAATATACTTTTATTTGAAACGCCCCACATAAATGGCATATTTGGTCTCATGCGTATACTTTGTTTTTGGTAGCAATATGAATATTACCATTGGTAACATCAAATGATTACACTTATAGAGCACCTAAATTTGACCACAGACTTTTAGGCCTCCAACAAAACAGAAAATCAACTAATTACAGATAATTTGTCTAACTAAACTCTTACATTTTTGTGCTTTCTTAGATTGTTGAAGTAACTCTAACCTTTCTATAACTTCCCTCTCTATTAACAGTTCTTCCTTGAATTTTTTGTGTGTTTCTAGCTCTTCAGGTATAGTATATCACTGCTATATGAGTTGCAGCTATCACTTCCTTTTTGAATTTCTTCCAATGCTTTCTTTTGATCATTTCCAGCATTTACTTGATTCCTGCAACCTGTACTGCCCGCCCTAACCGCATGTTTATATCTTGTCTTACTGCATTGATCCAGCTGCATTCAACAAACAGGTGGTCTTTTGTTTCCAATTTATCCTCATTACACAAATTACAGTTTATATTATCAACCTGTAATTGCATCCCAATCAGCCTGTCTTAGTTAGCAGCTTCTCAAGTGTTGAAAGTCAACCAATAAACCTGTGTTTAGGCTGTGCTACAGCTGTCCAGATTAAATCTGCAACCGTTAGTTTCTACTGTCGACCAATTATATCAAGATAACTTTTAGTGGTTGAGTATCTCCCTTCTGAAGTTAAAACATATCTGCCATGGGAGTACTATTCCTTCATCATTTCTTTGATTGAGTTTATCTTCCTCCAATACTAGCTACTATCTATAGGAGGTGTATGAGCTCTTATGTCATGATCAACTTTCATGTATACACTATGAACCCACCTTACCCATAAGGATTCCTTATTCTCTGCCAGCTGCCATATTAGTTTACCTACTGAGGCTATATTCCATTCTTTACACCCTTTGATATTTAAACCCCTCAAGTTCTTTGGACAACACACATTTTCCCATGCAGCCAAAGCCACTTTCTTTTGTCCCTCATTTTTACCCCGCAAATACTCCCTACATAGCATGTCTACTCCTTTTACCACATTTTGTGGTAAAATGAAGACATTCCCCCATAAACTATGTATAGAGAAGAGCACAACATTTACTATTTGAAGTCTTCTTGCATATGATAATTGCTTAGAGTAGGTAACATTGATTCTGTGAGTGATCTTCCCAATCAACATTTGACAATCCATCTTGTTCCATTTCCTTGGAGATAAAGGCAGTCCCAAGTATCTGATAGGAAATAATCCAGAAGTAAATCCTGTTCTTTCCAACAGTTGGTCCTTGATACCTTCTTCAACCCCAGCTACAAAGATGCTAGATTTCTCCATATTGGCAATCAAACCAGACACTTTATTGAAGTGATCTAGGGCTTCCATTACTCTATTTACTGAGCTGATATTACCTTTGCAGAATATCATCAAATCATTAGCAAATATGAGACGTGTTAGCTTAATCTCTTTGCACATTGGATGGAATCTGAAGTCAGGTAATCGACTAAATGTCTTTAATGTTCTAGAAAGGTATTCCATTACTAGAACAAATAGCAGTGGAGAAATAGGATCTCCCTGCCTCAATCCTCTCTTTCCAGCAAAGTAAACATGGCCCTCTCCGGTAAATTTGACTGTGAACATAGTAGTAGACACACATACTATGATCCAATGTATGAATTTATCAAGAAATCCATATCCTCTTGAAGCTTCTGCCAAAAACTCCCAGCTTATCATGTCATATGCCTTCCTAAGGCCTATTTTCATTAAGCATCTAGGAGTTGTCTTCCTATTGTAGTGCCTTATTAAGTCATGGCATATCAAAACATTGTGCATCATGGACCTTCCTTGTACAAATGCTGACTGGTTATCTACTACTATATGATTGACTGCTGGCTTCAATCTTGTACAGATCATTTTAGATATACACTTGTATAGAACATTACAGCAGGAAACAGGCCTATATTGAACTGCATTTTCTGGAACTTCCAATTTAGGTATCAAGGCAATGTTAGTGGCATTTATTTGCCTGAGCATGTTCCCATTCTGAAAGAATTCTAGAACTGCTGCAGTGATGTCTCTTCCCACAATTGACCAGGCTGTTTTGTAAAATCCACTTCCAAAACCATCAGGGCCAGGACTTTTGTTACTGTCAATCTGTCAATCTGAAAAATAGCCTGCTTTACTTCTCTTTCCATAAAAGGTTGTGTTATCTCTTGTTGCTGAGCTTCTGATAGACTATTCCCATTTTCTTTTATTATACTACTAAAATCTTGCACCCTTTCTGTTGCTTTTTTCCCTAGTAGATTTCCATAATAGTCAACAAACATACCAACAATTGTATCAGGATCTGTTTGCCAAATACCAGAGCTGTCTTTGAGCTGAGTAATAGCCTGCTTCGGTTTCCTGTGCTTGATTACTGAGTGGAAGTATTTGGTGTTGTCATCTCCCAGTCTAATCCATGTTGTTTTACTTCTTTGCTATAAATACACTTAAGCTAAATAAGATGATTGCCTGAACTTTTGATAAGCACTGACTTCAGCTTGTTGATATTCTAAACTAGTGGGACATCTCTGCAGTTGAACTTGGACCTGTTTGAGTGTGTTCCTGTCCTCATTAGCTTCAGCCACTATGTTATGAAATGCCTATTTATTTAAAGCTTTCAATCCCCTCTTTAACATTTTTTATCTTTTCACTACTGTAAACATTTTGCACCCTTCAACAGTCTAGTTCCAACCCTCTTTGACTGTGCTTATGAATTGTGGATGTTGAGTCCATACATTATAAAATTGAAAGGATCTCTTACTTTTCAGCCTCTCATTCACAAAGGTCACCTTTACAGGATAGTGATCACTAATCCCCTCTATAAAAAAATCTTGAATTGCATTCTGGCATAGTATCAAAACATTGCTCAATAATAAAAATCCAATCAATTTTTAAAAAACTTTTGTGCTCATCATGTTTATCAGTCAAAGTGGATCTATTTCCTTGTGCGGGTAGTTCCATCAATCCACACTCCACTATACAATTATAGAAATCTACCACTTCAGCTTATGTCACTTCATTTCCTCCTATTATATCCTCTACATTCAGTATAGAGTGAAAATATCCTAGTATCATCCATGGTTCACTACATCCTCTACTGTGAGTAATTAAATCTTCTTACAGTTCCTTCCTTTTATCTTCTATATTAAAAGCATATACATAGATTACCTCAAAAAATAGTTGAAGAGGAACATACAATACTTCACATGTTATTAGTTGAGCAGTCTTTATCCTAGGTATAATCTGGCCTCCAGGTGATCCAAATTCTACCATTGTAATGACAATCAAAGTTTGTTACAAACTTCCACCCAACAAACATCTTATCTGCTACTTAACCCATCCTTTCTTTTTTAACTTTTGTTTCCAGCAGGCCTATCAAACCTACTCTTTCCTCATTGCAAAGGAGTTTAATCTCCTTTTGTTTATTAGGAGCATTAAGCCCCCTAATGTTCCAACTTAGTAGACTAACCATCCCCATTAAGAGGGATAATTAGACCACCTACACTAATTCCTTCTCCCTCTCCTTAGATAGGTTGAAGCCTTCCTGCTTATTGAGTATCTGGAATGAATTGGATTTCTCTATTTGTTCCTTCTGCCTTTCCATAGTCTTGCCATATTTATTAGGTGTTTGCCAACCTTGTTCTATATTTCTTTCCTTTGTTACCACCTGTTCCTTTGCTACATATTGTTGTGTTCTTCCTAGAGTTCCTTGTCCTTTAGTAATTCTTATGGCATTTGAATTAGTTTTCTGAGCTTCATGGTTCTTCTCACTTTGCATTTGACCTTGCTTCTCCGTCTGAGTATTTGTTGTCTGTTCTT